CCCACCGCCCCCCACCCACCCAACCGAGGGCGCTGCCAAGCAGCGCTGATGGTTTGGCTCTTTCGTGTAGTTTCTACAGGTGTCTTTGGTCATTATTAAGTTTTCTTCATTAGTTTATTATTGTATAATTAGTTCTGAGCTGTTACAATTTTGCCAGCAGACTGCTGGTGGTCACGGAAATCTCGCTTCCTGTCTTCGCAGTTAGCTCTTTTTCATTTTTATTTTGCCGTCGAGTATAGGGATAGAGGTAGGGCCTCGCTCGACCTCTCTCACCATATGGACCGAAAACAAATATTACGGCAGTGCATGCATGCATCGTTCCACGTTCTTGCAGAATATTCATTCTCATGTTTTGCACATTTGGTAGTGGTGGAGCGAGGCCCGTAATCTCTTTCCCGTCCCTTACTTTGCGGCATTCGAGAAATTCGGAAGCTGAATAGAAAAGGTTACTTTGGCGCTAAAAAAAAAAAAGAAGTTATTTTGGCGCTTTATGGAAAACAACGGAAACAAAGCACGCACGGTTCTTCAAGTTGGAACATTCGTTGAAATGGGGGCGATGCACAGAGAAGATCAGAGTAGAGTAGCATAGGAGATGATAGGACCAACGATACAGAGAAGATTAGATTAGCATGGGGCCAATCAATACGAAGTGAAGGATAGCATGGGCCCAACCAGCTGTACGGAGAAGAATCTGAAGAATAGCATGAGCCCAAGTTGCCTGACCATACAGAGAAGACTAAGATCGGCCCAAGGATTCGCATGGGCCCCATCAATCAATACTGAGAGCGAATTAGCATGGGTGTAATTATACCGGAGATGATCAGAACGGGCACAAGGATTAGCATGGGCCCAACGAATAGCAAGAAGATAGGGCCCAACTAACTGTATATAGAGAAGAATGGCGTGAGCACAAGTTGCCTGCCTGACGATAGAGAGAAGAATAGTATCGGCCCAAGGATTAGCATGGGCCCATCGATCCAGAGCAAATTAGCATGGACCCAACTATACCGGGAAGATTAGCACGATGAGCCCAAAGGATTAGCATCGGCCCAATCAATATGAGCCCAAAGGATTAGCATGGCCCCGATCAATACAGAGAAGGTACTCCGTGAAGGATAGCATGGGCCCAGCTAACTGTATAGAGTAGGATGGCGTGAGCCCAAGTTGCCTGCCTGACGATAGAGAGAAGACTAACATCGGCCCAAGGTAATTAGCATGGGTCCATCAATACACAGAGCAAATAAGCATGGGCCTAACTATACCGGAGAAGATTAGCATGGCCACACGCCCCAGGATTAGCATGGGCAAATCAATACCGACAAGATGAGCATGTGCCCAATCAATAGCGAGAGAAAAAAAAATGATAAGCATGAGCCCAAGTAATAGCATGGATGTGCACAAAGATAAGCATTGGGCCCGAGCATTAGCATGGATGGGCCCAAGGTTTCGCTTGGGCTCAACTCTACAGAGAAGATTCGAATGGGCTCAACGAACGATACAGAGAAGATTAGGATGACCCCTTCCCTCTCCCCCGCCCCCCCCACCCCCCCCAAGATGCAGAAAAACGATTAGCATGGCCCCTGCGCAGAAACGGAAAGAGACATACACATTGAGGTGTCCCTCAGGACATTCGTTAAAACTGGAACACGATAGATCCAGAAAATATTACCATCCCCCCCCTGTGCAAGGTTGAGACGTAAGGGGGAAAAAGAAAAGAAAAAAAAAGAAGAAAACGGAATTCGACATGCACATTGAGGAATGGTCCAAAAGCGAACGGCACGTGCAGATCGAGGAACCTACAACTTGGAGTGATTTATGGCTTGCGCCCCCCGTAGTTCATCATCAACATTGGCCCATGGGGTGTGGGACCTTTTCTAGGTAATAATCGATATGCACCAAAAAGTGGGGAGGCCTCTAACTGGGAGATATTAATCGTATCACTCCCAGTAAAAGGCACCTCAATGATGTTTCGGAAAAAAAAAGCAAAAAAAAAAAGAAAAGAAAGTAATCGATATGCCGTCGATGACGCATGGTCATTGATTAATTCGGTAATTAGCCCCTTCGGATTGTGATTGATTAATACAGTGTAACAGTAATAAGTAGCCCCTCGCTATGGTGATTGATTAAAACAGCAATTAACCCCTTTTGATGGTGATTGATTATTGTAATTTATTGATACAGTAAAGTAATAGGCCCCTTTTGATCAATCGGCAAAAGCATGAGCTCGCTCCCTAGTGGAGAATCACTACCGTCTTCCGCCGAACATGACGCACCCTTGTCATGGCCGTATGTGACCGGGAAGTTAGCTTGTATACATTCACGGTAGTCCCGAGCTCCCTACCGTCTTCCCCCGAACACAAAGCACGCTCATTTTGGCTGTACCCGACCGGAAAAGATACATTGCTTATCAGGGTGCGTTATGTTCGTGGGAAGATGGTAGCCACAATGATTAGACCTTGCTAATCGTCGTCTAGGTTATTAACTTACAGTACTATGACAATACAGTAATTAGTTATTACGAATATTATTATTACTCACAAAAACATGAATATATAGTTGTCTATGTCAATATTATAATAAGTTAATAACTAATTTATAGGCTTTTTCTTTCTCTCCTCTCGCTGTTAGTCATTAGCCACTTGTCATCTATCGACTAAGGGTGAGCTCTCTCCCTAATCAGTAGCAAATCATTTGTTCTGAAGCCCCTAATCACTAGATCTTACTCATGATCATGGTAATACAGCACTTCAATCACTAGGTCTTACGTTCATAAAGATTATTATTAAAATAATAATAATAACAAATTATTAAAATAATAATAATAACAAATGAGAAGGGTTTCTGATTTCCTTTTTCCTCTCTCGCTGTTAGTCATCAGGCCCATCCGATGGATCGCTTCAGAGTTAGCTCTCCCTGTTTTTTTTTTTTTTTTTTTTYTTTTTCCAGAAAGGTTCCGGTCTATTCGTGAGGGGCAGCACGTTGTGGCAAACAGGCCCAGCGTCCTTTCGGCAAGCTTTGTTTTTTTTAATCAAGAAAAAGGTGATGCTCCAAAGAAGTAGCTATATCGGCTTAGGAGTAGTGGTAGGTAGACAGTGAAAGGTGCAATTAAGAGAGGGATATAGCATAGTTTCAAAAAAAAAAAAGAAGTAGATATGCTTGCAGGGTTCCCCTCTGTAGAGCCTTAGGATTAGTCGTAGGTACGGAGTGAAAGGTGAAAGAAATTCGAGAGAAGAATATAAGATATATAGCTTAGTTTGGGAAAGAAAAAAAGAGAGAGAGAGAGAGAGAGAAGGTAGTGGCGCAGCTCACCGTTAGCTCTCGCTAATCAGTATCCAGTGACGAAGTTGTTCTCCCGCACACGGCTATCGGTCGGTCATTAGGCCTGTATCTGGCCTGAAAGTTGCACAAAGTACAGCTGTCGTGACCGGACGTTGCGCTCGGGGGAACAAGTTTGTCCTGAGAAAGGTGGTGTTTTTTTTTGTTTTTTTTTTTGAAAGGAAATATCTCCTAACCTTCGGGGAAATGCCAACGGGAAATGAAAAAATGGACGATGTCTTTCCAACCCCCCCCCCCCCCCCCCCCCCCCCTCCGTTTTTGAAGGAGATGTCCCCTCACCTCGCTGTATAGAACAGGGGTCGAACATTCGTCGTTTGTTTATGAACAGTTGAGACTCTTAATAGTTATATGTGTCTACCATTTTTTTTTTTTTTTTTCTTTTGGTTAAATCAGAGTTATATCTGTCTACTATTCAGTCACCAGGGGCCATGTCCCACTAGCAGCGTTGAGCTACCTCTACGCCTGAATCTGGACGTGTTTGTGGAGACGTGCTGTTCAGGAAACTCTACACCACTTCTGCACATCTCCGCAAAAGCGTCCACATTCAGGCCTTCGGGTAGCTCAACGCTGCTAGTGGGACTTGGCCCCAGGGTCCACAGGAGCAATGGTCCCATTAGCAGTCGGATAGGAGTGTGGCCGATCCAGTGTCACACTCAGTGGCAGCGGGCTGACAGGTTCATCACGAATTTCTGGGCTGAGAAAACAGGAGAAAGGCAAAAAAAAGAAAAAACAAAAGGGACAGAGACCGCCCACCTGAAATCACGTCAGAGTGCTTCCCAGCCATCAGATCACAAATGATCTGATGGTGGTGGTCCCCACAACAGGCAACAAAGTAACCGCCACATTTTCTGCAATTAACTCGACTTCCGTCAGCAGTGATCCTGACACCCTCCATATTCTCCGTGATTGAAGGAGGGCTCCACCCACCCAATGAGATAATAAATTGCACAACAGCAAGCAGATAAGCAAAATACTGAAAATCTTCTATCCAGTGGGCCTATGGCCGAGCCCTCCCTCCTCCCTCTTTTGGGGTTGGCCACACCCCCAACGGATAGAAAAGATTTTGGGGGGAAGCTTCCTTTGCACGGGCATGCCCAGTGCTAAGGAGAGGAGGAGGGGAACAAAGATCTCCTTTCTTTTTCGGGTAATATCGGGTAATACAATACATAATATGATAAAATACTGACCGTGGGATCACGAGTAGTGCACGGCAGGATTTGGTTTGGGTCACTCAACTGCCCCACAA